AGCAGAACATCTGCCAGGAGGCAGAGCAGCTGCAATCCACAAACTTGGCCCTGGCCAAATGAGGAGAGGCGGAGAGAGGCTGTGCTGCCCTGAAGAACAGTGCCACCAGCTCTGCCCTCTGCAACAGGAGTTACCTGACTTCTCCAAGGCTGCTGGGTCACTTGACCAATTGCCAGTTTTCTTTCTCCTACACCTTGGAATATTACCCTGCTTAAAATCCTCCATTGGCTACACCTGCTCTCAATGAACAAGTACTGTGTTTATAATCTTAGAGCTCTTGTTTGTTTTCTTATTCTGCCTCTGTGTGGCTGTGCTGTCCAGCAGCCCACCTATCTTGGGAGGGCCCAAATCTTCCCATGTCTTTTGACCTTTGGGTGCTTTCGTTTGTCCAGGGGTAGTTCAGATTTATAGGCCACCCTGGTCTTCAGATACATGCGGCCTTTTTGCCCTTGTGGTCCCATAGTCCCATAGACGTAAATCAGAATCATTTGGAGGTTGTATCTAGTCAGGAATGTTGGAAATAGCTTGGAGCAGGTTTTTGGTACACAGTAGTCCAAATATCCCTCATTGTGACCTAATTCTGGAATAGCTGGTTGGGTTGTTGGTTCACAGACTCTGTATTTACTTTCCAGTGAACCTGCACAGCCATGGGCCAGGACATCTCAGGGGGCCATTCCTGGGGTGGGGCCTGGGGTTGATGTATGGGCTTCCTTGTCCCCTAGCAAATCTGTAGGAGGTTAGAACCCAGTGTTGACGAAGTCTCTGGTTCAAACCGGGTTAAAATCATGTCTCAGGAAGAGCATAGAGGGAAACGGAGTGAGTAAAGCAGGCAGATGGTGAAGACAGCCGTAAACTTCTCAGGAGTTCCTTCAACGGCATTTCTGTCCACTGTACTGTCCTGAGCTCTATATTTCCTTCAAAGCTGTTCCTGTCCATTTTGTGGCCTTCCCTACCCCACCACCTATTGTTTTTTTAAACTATATACACATCAGCAATCAGAAGAGTATTTAAACTATTTTTTTAGGGGAGAGAGAAAGAGAAACATTGTGTGAGAGAAACATTGATCGGTTGCCTCTCGTAAGCATCCTGTGTGGAGATCAAGAGTGGCTCTGCAGGCTAGAACTCTTAAACTGATCAGCTGCTGTCACCCCATTTTTTCACACAGTGCTCAGGAGACAGGCTCCTGATAGGCCACTCTGAGGCCAACCTTATTTGGCACACAGGGCATCACTGAAGTCCCAGGAACTTAGGACCGTGTGGGTGGGACTAGGACAAGGTGGTGTGGAGAAGACAAGTGCATGAAGCTCAGGGCCCAGCCCAGCCCACCACCAACTGTAATCAGAGCAATTCAGTACTTAACTGTTTTATGTAGTAGCTGTGTCACCTTAGGCCACAACATTCAATGAAAAGTTACTGTGTGCCAGGTAGTATTTTAAGTACTCTTGATATACCAGTCATTTAATCCTCATACAACCTAGGAGATAGATACTAATCCATGTTAGAGATGAGGAAACTGAGAGAGCTTAGGTAATTTGCTAAAGTCATAGAGTAAGTAACTAAGCCAGGACACCAAGCTGGGCAGTTTGATTCAGAGGCTATGCTCTTATCTCTACTGTGCTGCCTTCCAGTTAACACAGGGTTGTGTGTTCGCTCTTATTTTCTCTTCCTCTCCTTCCTTCCATGTTGGTCTTTCCACTTGCTCTCTGGTCCTCTCTGATTCATTCTCCACAGAGCATCGTGAGTGATGTAAAGTACAAATCTTTCCATGTCAGTCCTGCTTAAAAACATCCAGTGGCTTCCCTTTCCATCTCATGTTGGGCCACTCTCCTGTTTGCTCCGTGTGGTCAGCCAGTCTGGTCTTCGTTCAGGTCCTCAGATGCTCTGTACCCTCTCCTGCCCCGGGATCTTAGCACTCACCATTCCTCTGTTTGGACAGCTCCTTGCCACCCTTCCACCATTGCCTCCCCTTTCCTAGGTAACTTCTGTTTGTCCTTCAGAACTTAATGCCTCTTTCATGGACTGTCTGAGAACATATCAAGAACATCTCACAGCTTGTCATAACTTTTCTTTCACAGCAAGTATCATAGTCTCTGATGGTTTATTTATGGGATTATCTAATTTAATATTTGCCTTTTATACTTGACTATAAGCTCCCTGGGTTAAGGAGCTTATTTGTCTTGTTGATAGCATATTTCAAACACATTGTCTGGTTTATAGTAGATGATCAATAAATATTTGTAGAACAAATGTCAAACGCATTGGAATTTACAGTATTAACAGTCATCATTTAAGGGTTGAGCAAAGAGGCCCTAAGTCATGGGCTGTTTAGCAGATGTGCAGGGTGGTTACTGGGGCCTGGCCACACAGCCTTCCCTGCACAGACCTACCCATCCAGAGGGTATCTGCTTGTGAACAGGGAGAGAACATCCCTTCTCAGCTGCCCGCTTTCCTAGAACATGATCCGCCCTACCTCAGGGGAACAAATGAGGCTCTGTGATCCCATAAACTTCCTTCAGCCTCACAGAATTATAAGCTCCTCCACATGCTTAAACTTTGTGCCCAAAAAAAAAAAAAAAAAATCCTCCACATGTGGTCTATTTAGTCAACTATTCCTAATTATCCTCCATAACATAAAGGTTACCTCCTCTTAGAATCCCTTTTTTATCTTTTAGTTGAGAGAACCAGAAACATAATTTCAAAGACATTGTTGAAATGGAAATTTATTGACAGGATGTCAAGTTATCCCATGTAACTGGAAGTTCAAGGACAGCTGGATTTCAGGAACTCAAACACTGCTGGAATCACTCTCTATATCTTCTTTGTATGTCAGCATCTTTCTCTCAATCCTGCTTCTTCCATGAAGTAGGAAACACATCTTACAGCTTTGCTGCCAGAGAGGAACCGAGTGTTTTCCTTGTTTCCAATTGAAAAATCCTAAAGAATCTTTTGGCCAAATCAGCCATGGCCAGAGCAGCAGGGTCACATGACATAGATAGGGTCTTTAGGGGCCCACACTTATATTTTGGGGTGGTTTCCAGAGACAAGGCCACAGTTTCTACATCTGTAAAGTGGGAATTAGGTACTTTTTCCATTGTGGTGCCTGGCACATTGCTCAGGCAGAATCTTTGTGATTCCTCATTGTATGAGTGGAAGCCTGGGAGAGAAGGGTCACTGAGAAGATTGGCTGAACTATATGCCACTTGAGTATAAGACTTAGAGCAGAGACTTTTAAATGTCACAAATATCCATTCTGCTACAATAAGTAAACCTCTAGTTTTCAGCTTAGCACATGGCCAAACAGCTAAACACTATATTTCCCAGTCTCCTTGTGCTAGGATGGACAAGAGAAAACATCGTTTTAGCCAATGAGATGTAAATATTCTGTATGTCTTATGGGAAGCATCTTCAGAGGCAGTTTGCCGTTTTTTCTTTTCTGAGGGCTGGAATGTAGACGAGATAGCTGGATTTGGAGCAGCTGTCTCTGACCTTGAGGTAGAAACTGATGAGGATGGCGGACTAATAATATAATAGGTCTATGTGAAAGAAATGAACTTCTGTTTAAGGTACGGTTATTTCAGCTTTTCTGTCTCTTACTGCCCAGATTCATTTTATGTTATTCATATGCAGGGGGAAACAGGAGTTTCTGTTGTCAGTAGCAGTGGAAGGGCCTATAGATGACCTCCCTGTCCCTGATAGTTTCAAATCTATCAGCAGCAATTCCTGCTTAGGTTCCCATTTCTGTGTTTCAGGGAATGTTAGTTCCTGCCTTCCCTGCCCCCACTTTCCTCTGAAATGTGTGTGCTTTCCTACAGAATTTTCTGCCTTATCTGCCCTCACTAGAATAGGAATCAGTGTCCATGTGAAATGCTCCCATCTGGCCAGGCCCCTCTACACTCTTTTCCTTACCACCATTGTCAAGAGGTTCTCTCCCTGTAGGCTTTGGCCTAAAGAGGGGATAGTTGACATATACTATAGGCTGGGGCCTCTGTGGTCGGATTTCTAATGCTCTGTATTCCTGAGGGCCGTTGTATGAGTGCATGTGTGCTGTGTGCTGGGGTTGTGTCTAATGTCAATGTGTTTAACAGCCAGTTGGAGTGGACGTTGGCCAAAAGAGAGCAGGTTCTGGAGTCATCCTGCTGTGGGTGGCCAGGGTGCAGGGGGACATCAAGGGCTTGAGGCAGCAACCTGTTTCAACTGTTACAGACCTAGTTTAAAACTTATTTTTTTGTCTTGTTAATCCTCACCTGAGGCTCTGTTTTCCATTGACTTTTAGAAAGAGTGGATGGGACGGGAGAGGCAGAGAGGGAAACATCGATGTGAGAGACTGGTTACCTCCCACAGTTACCGACCAGGCTGGGGATTGAGCTTATAACCAAGATATGTGCCCTTGACCAGAATCAAACCTGCAACCCTTCAGTCCAAGGGCCGGCGCTTTAATCACTGAGAAAACCAGCCAGAGCTAGTTCAGTATTTTAACAAACAGTTCAGTTGTACTGTGTACACTACCTGAACATCAGCTGTGGTTGTGTGCATGTGTGTTGTGTGTGTGTGTTGGGGAACGGGGGCTTGGAGTGCTGTGTCAGCCAGGGAGAAAGCCATGAAGGGTTGTGGGACCCTCACAAAGGCTTCTGAAGCTGGGACCATGCACCTGGACAGTGGCAGAGGGCATAGGTCTCACCTAGGTTCTTGGCCTTATTCAGACAGGAGCACTGAGCAGAGAGAGTGCTGAGGCCAGGGGCTGGCCTCTCAGAACCCTGACCTCAGAAAGGGATCTCTCGAGGGACACGTGACGGGGTTGAGGAGCACTGGAGCAATGGCAAGGACATCAGTTTCAGAGTATGGAGGGTGGGACCAGATCCACAACCTCCTCCCCAGAGTCCCCCAAAATACTGGCCCACTTGGCTGGGTTGGGCTGGATCTTTTATTTCATGTCACATCCTCTCCACTCCCACCACTGTTCTCCAGCCTGAAGCTTCATGGCTTACAAGGTTCCTGTGGGATCAGCATTTGCCATCCTTCACGATCTGGATGTCCTGTTTGGTTTTCCTAGGATCACAGGAGACAGGGATGAGGCCGCCTCCTCAGGAACTGTAATGCACCCTCCAGGGACCTTGGCGAAGTCCATTCAGACACCTGCTGAGCCCTACCACCCACTTAGTGTACGGTGGAGGGCAGACTCCAGGGGTGCCTGGGCATCTCTCTATAGCTTTTCCTTCTTGCACACACTCCCCTGGGAGGTTTCAGCTTTCTAGGGTCTCAATCACCACAGCATACTGATGGCTGCAAATCTATCTCCAGCCCAGACTTTTGTCCTAAACTCTAGCCATATCTCCACTGGGGTGTCCCAGAGGTTCAACTGTCCAGAGACATCATCACCCCACAAACCTGCTACATCCCTCTGTTTCTTACCTTGGCACATGGCACCACCAACCGCCCAAACCCACAAGTTAGAAACCAGCATGTTGTTTTTGCCTCTTCCTCCATCATCCCTCACATCCAATCTCACAGCTGTCACTTCTCCCCTGATATAATCCTGAGTGTTTAGTCATGACCTAAGTTAGACTGTCCTGCTGCTCTCTTGCACTTCTGTCTAGTGCATTCTAGCTTCCAAAGACTTTCTTCTCTTCTATGATCTCACTTAGCTCTGGCCAGCTCAAGTGTCTTATTAGTAAAGACGTGAGACTAAATGAGTGTTCAGATGTACCAAGGTCATATTTTGGTCCTGCCTCTCCAGACTCATTTCTTGCCTCTCTCCTGTTCTCCTTTAAATTTTCTACTCCAGCATATCCAACTTCTTATATTTCCTCAAATATAAACTTTCCCTTCTAGATCTTTCCAAAACTCATTTCTCTATTTAGAATTACCTTCCCTTGTTTCTTCATTTTCCTAGCTAATTTCTACTTACACCTCAAAGCTGGGAAGTCTTCCATACCCTTGCCCTGTACCCATAGAACCCTGTGTACTCCCATCCAAGCCTTTAGCATTCTATTCTGTAGTTAGCTAACAGTCAACGTGGCTTCCCCCTTAGACTGACTGACCACCCCAGAAGGCCAGTGATGCTGTCTAGCTTATGCCCTGTTGTTTCCTCAGTGTCTAGTACATAATAGGTGCTCAATAAATAATTGTTGACTGGATGAATTAATACTCAAATGAAGTCACCTAGTCAGGATCAGTTTCTTCACTCCCTACCTCTCACCAGCTGCGGCTTTCTGCTTAGAACCATGTGCATGAATTACACTTGTGCCCATTCTGTTAGGAGCAAATGTTGGGGGATTCTTCCTAGGTCAGTGTGTGTGAAGGAGGAGGCAGGTCAAGTCTTGCTCCTTTCAGACTTGTATGCAGCAGAGATGGAGCCCTACGCAAGCAAACACAGGGGAAGGTGGGGAGTGGACTTACATCCGGGCTAAGCAAAGATGGCATTCACTTTCATATGTGACCCCGTCAGTGCCGCAGACCAGGTTGGATGTCTGGGAACAGTCTGGCGACTCTGCCATATGCTCACAGTAGGGCTAGGAGAGAGAAGACGGGAGGGAGGGCACTTAGGGATTAAGAGGCAGTGAGGGGAACCCAGGGCTCTGCTCTTAGCCAGAGTGCATTGATCCTGCTGACCCTGGGTGGGGGGATTTCACTGCTGGCAGGGGCTTGATGCCAGTTTGGGGACTTTGGCAAAGGGGCTGGGCCTGCTCAGTCTGGGAGGACTAATCCATGCAACACGGCTCGGGAAACCACCCTGGCCACCGTGGAGCCACGGGAGTTATCTGAGCAGGGGTGTAAAGGAAAACCAACGCTGGTTTTCCAGCATGGATGGGAGGGCTCCCTCCGCAGAGGGAAGGCCAGAACTGCAAGTGGCTGCCTTACCATTCTTGAGAAAACGAGCTTTTCTCCTGACACTGGCACTCCTGAAAGGCAAAACAGCAAGAATTAGGTGATGTCTGCTCTAAGCCCCCCAGTCCAGGGATCTGAAGACTGCTTCAGAGGACCTGTTCCAGCCACTGGCCAACCTCGAATTCCTCACGGAAAGGCAGTGAGTCATCAGACTGGGGGGCTCCCAGAAAGCTGATGGGACCTTGGGTTACATGAACAGAGACAGAAAATCTAGAATTAAGAGCAGTCCAGCCTGTTGCTTATTAGTCAGATTCCACTGGAATTATGTCCCATCCTATGTAATAAAGAGCTAATGTGCTAATTAGACCGAACAGCAGAAAGACCGTCTGGATGACCTTCCGGACGAAGCCAGGGCTGCAAGGGCCAAGGCAGCCGGGGCTGCGAAGGCTGAGACAGCCGGTGCCAAGCCCCTTGCACGAATTTCATGCATTGGGCCTCTAGTGTAATAATAAAAATAACGATCTGTGCCAAGCGAGAATATATGCTCTTACTACCCTTCATACCTCTCTCATGCTGTGTAATGGAGGAACAGAGCAAGCAATGGGTGCTGGGGTCTGCTACCTAGAGCCTACCCATGGGACTGACACCTTCATTTCCTCAGCTTCCAAGAGAATTGGCCATTTATAGTGAGGCCCTTCCTAGGAATTACTCTCAGAGAATGGAGCTACCTCGCTCAAGGTCCCATCCCCTACCCAGGAACAGCCCACCTCCAATGACAGATTGATGCAGGTACAACAGCCCGAACCCCTCGTCTCTGTTCAGAACAATGCTGAAGGGCCTCCCCAGCTCTAAGGCTCCCGTAGGCTCATCAGAGTCAACGTCCCTCATCCCTCAAAGGTCTTAGCCCCATAAACTGCATGCAGATCTGAGTCTGTCCTGGGGAACTGGATCAACCTATAAAGGAGGCTCAGAGGTCAAGCAACACAGCTTGTTAGGGCAGAGCTGGGATTTGCACACAGGTCTGTCACTCCCTAACCTGGCTCTTCCCACACACACTGATGTGTTCCATGGCCCCTCAAGGTCTGGATGAACTGCTTACAGGACCTGAGCGAATTGTGAGGTGACTGGTGAGTGTGACGGGTGGATGAGACAGGAGCCATGCCTAACACCACAGGTGGAAGGAAAGCGGTTTATGTAGAGTGGAAAAGGGCAGGATGTTTCCTAAAAATCTCTGAATGATTGTCTTGAGGCCAAGGGAGACCTCAACTTGCTAGGGCAGTGCCTGTCTGAGCAAGGAGGCTTCAGGTTTGGGTTCCGGAATGTTCTCTCGGTGGGAGTTATGCCCCAATGAAGGGGGCTGTCTCCAGAAGTGGAAAGTTCTCCACCAATAGAGGATTACAAGGCACTGGTTTTAGAGGGAAACGGGAACTGAGACAGTGACCGCTGCTGTGCTGTTCACGCCTGATGTTGGGCATCAAAATGCAAACCTAGCCTTGTCACCACACTGCCCCAACCCCGTCCATGTCATAATTTCTAAAACTGGAAATTACCGAATGTCCTGCAACAGGAGAGCGGGTAGACTATGACACACACATACAGTGAGATACAACTCAGCCATAAAAATGAGCAAACAGCCCTGGCCGGTTTGGCTCACTGGGTGGAGCGTCGGCCTCGGGACTGGGGGGGTTCCGGGTTCGATTCCGGTCAGGGGCATGTGCCTTGGTTGTGGGCACATCCCCAGTGGGGAATGTGCAGGAGGCAGCTGCTCGATGCTTCTCTCTCATCGATGTTAAAAAAAAAAAAAAGCCAAAGCCGGTTTGGCTCAGTGGATAGAGCGTCGGCCTGCGGACTGAAAGGTCCCAGGTTCGATTCTGGTCAAGGGCATGTACCTTGGTTGCGGGCACATCCCCAGTAGGAGATGTGCAGGAGGCAGCTGATCGATGTTTCTCTCTCATCGATGTTTCTAACTATCCCTCTCCCTTCCTCTCTGTAAAAAATCAATAAAATATATTTTAAAAAATGAGCAAACAACTGATAATGTGACAACATGGCTAAATCTCAACAACATGCTGAGCCAAAGAAGCCAGGTACAAAAGACTACATACTGTGTGGAGGGGCACCTTGGGCCAAGGTCAAGGGCAGACTGGAGGAATAAACACAACTTAAGTGACGTGCTAGAACAGGCCAAACAAATCTATGGTGGAATACAGAGCAGCGGTTGCCTCTGGGAAAGGGGTGGGAGTGGGCATGACTGACATGGAAATTTCTGGGGTGACAGAAATATTCTGTATCTTGATAGAGGTCTGGGTTACACATTTATATGCACTGTCAACTTTCATTGAATTTTGTGCCTTCCATGGTAACTATTAGGGGACAAAAAAACCCAACACACATTAAAAAAATATAAAGCCCTTCCATGGCTGCCTGTCAGGATCACTAAGCTCCTTCATTTTATGTTTAGGGCACTGCACGAGCTGCTCCCAAACTTCACCCTGGACTCACTTCCTAGTACACACACCTCCATGTTCCTACACTCGCAGCCTACTCTTCCTAGAACAGGCTCTACTTTGGCTCATACTGTGGCCTCTGCCGGAAATGTCCTTGTTCCCCTTCTCCTATTGTCTCATACCCTTTTCTCAAGGCTCAGATGTACTTTCCGGAGAAGCCTTCCCTGATGTCCCCGAGGGTTTCCTGAGCAGGCCTGGATTTAGGCTTCAGTTTTAGTTTGTTTGGGCTGCTATAACAAAAATCCCAAAAACTAGGTGTCTTAGAAACAAAACAAACATTTGGGGAGCATTTGAGATCTTGCTCCCAGTATATGCCATCAGTTTGGCTCAAATAAATTCTTATTAAAAATAAAAAATAGCCCGGCTGCTGTAGCTCAGGGGTGGAGCATCAACCCAGGAACCAAGAGGCCACCGGTTCACCGGTTTGATTCCCAGTCAGGGCACATACCCAGGGGTTGCAGACTCAATCCCCTGGCGGGGGGTGGCGGGGAGGAGCACAGGAGGCAGCCGATCAATGATGTTTCTCTCTCAATGATGTTTCTGTCTCTATCCCTCTCTCTCGAAAAAAAAATCAATTAAAAAACATTTTAAAAATAATTAAAAATAAAAACATATTTATTTATCCCAGTTCTGAATGTGGGAAGTTCAAAGTCATGGTGTCAGCAGATTTGGTGTCTGGTAAGGGCCCTCTTCCTGGCTCATAGCCTGTGCCTTTTTGCTATGTCCTTAATGGTGAAATGGTGTAGGCAGCTCTCGGGGGCCTCTTTTATAAGGGGACTAATCCCATTCATGAGGGTTCCGACCTCATGACCTGCTTTCTGGTCACTTGGGGATTGGGATTTCAGCATATGAATTTGGGGGGCCACCATCATTCAGACCATAGCAGCAGCTTTCATGCCACCATGTGCTGTCCCACTGGGTCACTCCTGTCTTCCTATGGGCCTGAGTTCCTTAGGGCTCCCCTTGCCTCTGCCTCCGAGTGTCAATGCCCCCACACAGTGAGTGTTCAGGAATTGGCCCCTAAAGTGCATTGTGGGGAAGAGTTCAAAACCCTGTGGTGTCAGAGTTTCTTCCTGGAGGATGTGAGAAGAAGTTGTATTTACCCCAGGCTGCCCTGGACTCGGGCCCAAGATATCCCCTTCTCACTCAGCCAAGGCAGGAATCTGAAATGGGCGCAAGGACTCCCTTCGGGGCAGGCCTCCTCATTGTTCCCACCAGGAGAAGTACTTGGGGAAAGGAAGCCAGGCTGTGAGTGAGCAGGCTGTGCTGGGACAGAAGCCCCAGACCCATTCTCTGAGTCCCCAGCTGGGGAAATGTCTGTGGGACTGGCCATGAGGTTGATGGCCTTGACGTCCTGCCGGGCCTTGTCCTGTAACACCATGGCTTTGTCTCCTTGCTTCCCCCTTTAGTCTTCTCAACAGCTACCAGAGTGATCCTTTTACAACATACCTGCTGAAAACTCTTCAGTACCCCCCATTTCACTCAGAGGGGGAGCCAAGCTCACATTGGCCTTCAAGGCCTCACGCACCATAGTTCCTGGTTGCCTCTATTATCTCCCCTGCCTCTCACGCCCCTCCAACTACACTGGCCTCCTTGCAGTATCTCAAAGACTCCTACTTCAGGGCCTTTGCACTGCCTGTTCCCTCTGCCTGGAACCTTCTTCTTTCAGATATTCACATGGCTCACTCCCTCACCTCCTTCAAGCTTTGGTCAAACATCAGCCTCTGAGGAAAAGTTCCCCTGATTTATCCTTACAACCCCATCCCAAACCCATCTCTCTGCCTCATATTTTATCACCTTCTAACATACTGTTTAACATACATTGCACCTCTCTTGTCTACTGTTCATTCTCTCCCATCACCCCCCCCCCCCATTGGATTTAAGCTCACTGATATGTCTGAAGGGCCAAGAACAATGAGAACAAAGCCTTATAACACAACAGGTATGAGACTGCAGAGGTGCCCCAGGCTCTGAGGAGGCCCCATTCCACCTGCACGTGTCCAATCCAGGGCAAATGCTCCCAGGAAGAGGGGGCTTCCATGTGCTCATATGGCTGCTCTCAGTCCCACAGCGATAGCCTGTCAGAATGGATGGAAGCTGAGAGCACCCAGGCCAGCATTCCTTCCAGACCCTCCAGCTTGCAACCAGCAGACGAGATAGGCCTGCTCCTTTCTGCCTCCCTGATCTCTAGCCCAGTAGTTGCTCAGTGCAGCTTTGAACTAGGACAACCTCCTACTTTACAGCTGGAGAAATGTAGGCCCAAGAGGGGAAAGGATTTTTGCAATTCTAGGCCAGAATCAGAAACTGAACCCAGATTTCCTTTCTCCTAGCCCAGGGCTTTCCCCACGATGGTGGGAGGGGTGAAGAAAAAGTTATATGCAGCCTGGACAGTGTTGCTCAGTGGTTGAGCATTGACCTATGAACCACAAGGTCATGGTTCGACTCCCAGTGAGGGTACATGCCTGGGTTGTGGGCTGGATCACCAGTGTGGGTCGTGCAGGAGGCGGCCGATCAATGATTCTCTGCCATCATTGATGTTTCTATCTCTCTCTCCCTCTCTATTCCTCTCTGAAATCAATAAAATAGATATTGTTTTTAAAAAAATTTTAAGTTATATGCAGAAAATTGAAGCCTCATAGAAGTGCTCCAGGCCCAGCCTCTGCCCCCACCCCAAGCTCACCTACCAGTGCCAAGCCATAGAGAATCCAAGCTCTGCCCCACTCACCTCTGTCTACAACGAGGAGGGCAGCCAAGGCCAGGGCGACCACCCACAGACGGAGGGCCATGCTGATCCTGGTTGGTGTGGGCTCGGCTAGTGAAGCCTGGGCCGGGGGAAGGATGGGGCCTGTTTATAGTGCTGAGCCCTCCCCTTATCTTATCTGGGGCCAGATGGAGAGGCCAGGAGTGGCATCCTGAGTAATCTCTGCACCTTGGCATCCGGAAAGGGCTTTCTCTACGCAGAGATGCTGAGCTGGGGTGGGGTGGGACTGTGGTTATTGGGCTGGCAGATTTTCAAATTGAGGAAAAGTTTGGACAACTCACAAAGTTGATGCCAGTCTTGGGGCTGGAGCAAGAGGGAAAGGGAAATTGGAAGTAGAAAGAGAAAAACAGAGAAACCAAGTCAAAAGAGAGAGAGAGAGAGAGAGAGAGAGAGAAGGCAGTTCAGAAAGAAAGAGGAAAAAGCAACTGGAAGGTGGCAGGAGGCAGAGAAAAGGGGCTGGAATGCCTCTACCAAAAAAAAAAAGGAGACATATGTAATACTCTTTGTAATACTTTAAGCAATAAAACAATTTAAAAAAAAAGAATTGTAAAAAAAAATAAATAAATAAAACTGAGCTTCAGTTTACCTGTGCACAAAATGGGGGTGATAATTCTGGCTCTGTCTACCTCATAGGGCTGCTGTGAAGATGAGAGTGTTGATAGCAGATGGGAAAATATTTTGCAGTGTATGAAATGAGCTATAAAGGTAAACAGAAGTTTACCTTTTCTTTCTTTTTTTTTTTTTTAAATACATTTTATTGATTTTTTACAGAGAGGAAGGGAGAGAGATAGAAAGTTAGAAACATCGATCAGCTGCCTTCTGCACACCTCCTACTGGGGATGTGCCCGCAACCAAGGTACATGCCCTTGACCGGAATCGAACCTGAGACCTTTTAGTCCGCAGGCCAACGCTCTATCCACTGAGCCAAACCGGTTAGGGCTACCTTTTCTTTCTTTCTTTTTGCATTATATGAAGGCACAACTGACAGGGGGAAAGGACAAAATAAAACACTATAAGGGTTTAATGCAGACAAGATCAGTATCTAAAACTACCCCATATATACACAATATTTATGAATGAGATATTTGGTTATCTGCTTTCAAAGAATTTCTGATTTATTAAAAGAATAACAAGCCCTGGCTGGTTTGGTTAGAGTGTCAGCCTGCATCCCAAAGGGGCGCAGATTCAATTCCTGGTCTAGGGCATGTACCTGGGTTTCAGGTTTGTTCCCCGCCCCTGGTTGAGCGGCAGAGAGGCAACCAGTTAATGTGTCTCTCTCATATTGATGTTTCCCTCTTTCTCTCTCTCTCTCTCTCCCTCCCTCCCTTCCTTCTACTCTCTAAAAAGCAATGGAAAAAACATCCTCAGGTGAGGCTTAACAACAAATGCCCGGCAGGTGTGGCTCAGTGGTTGAGTGTCAGCCCAGGAACCGAGAGATCACAATTCAAATCACAGTCAGGGCACAGGGCACATGCCCAGGTTGTGGGCTCAATCCCCAGTGGGGCACATTCAGGAGGCAGCTGATTGATTGATGTTTTTCTCTCATCCATGTTTCTATCTCTCTATCCCTCTCCCTTTTTCTCTAAAAATCAATAAAAACATATTAAAACAAATTTTAAGCCCACAAAATTTTATTTACATATTTGGATCAGTAATTTCCAGCTCCATCTGCAGATTAGATTTCCAATGGGAGAATTTAAAACTACAGAAGCTGGACCCCACTCAAAAATATTTGAATCAAAATTTCAGCACTTAAAAAAACTTTTATTTAGGAAGATTTCAAGCTTACAGATAAATTGTGAGAATAGTTAAATTAGTCAATGGGGAGGATTCTTGTCCAAGAAGAACCCTGTTGGCCCTGGCCGCTGTGACTCAGTGCTTAGAGTGTCAGCCCGCACACCAAAGGGTCTCAGGTTTGATTCAGGGTCAAAGGCACATACCTGGGTTGCAGGTTCAATCCCTGGCCCAGTCAGGGCACATGTAGGAGGCAACCAATCAATGTGTCTCTCTTACACTGATGTTTCTCTCTCTCTAAAATATAAAAAGAAGAAACCCTTTGGGGGTCCCAGGCAGCCAGACAGTCACCCCCACAGACCAATAGAAGCCCCAGATCTGCAGCCCAGCCCAGCCTGAGATCCGTGACTCAGTTTCAGGATCCTCCTGCCCCTCCTAAGGAAGCTTCATGACCCTCAGGTGCCTCTGAGGCAGGTGGCAGCTATCCTTTTACTGTTTAGCAGAGCAAATATTTAATGATAATTTCCTGTCCCAGAGCAAGAACATCATCTCATAAAGGGAGGGGAACTTAAAGGTCATCTATCTGTCTCCCATCTTTTACTCAGGCCTTATAGCAGCCCACCAGCAAGTCATTCATCCTCTAGTGATGACGAGCTCACTACCTACCAGTTTCAGTGTTGGATGGCTTTGAACACACAAGAGGCTGGCTTCCCCTCGTATGTTATGTAGAAGAGAAATTACATGGTATAAGGGGAGAATGTGACAAAGGGAAGGAGGCTGCTCTCTTAGATAGTGACACACGAGCAGAAGGAGCAAGTCCTGCAGAAACCTGTGGGAAGAGCCTGCTAAGTGGAGGAGCTGCAAGTGCAAAGGTCCTGGGATGGGAACAAGCTTGGCATGCTCCAGAGGCAAATATCAAGGCGCCCACTGTGGTCAGAGTAAACAAGGAATTGAGTAGCAGGAGATGAGGGCCAGCTCTTACTCGGATCTCAGCCCAGCCACCAACTTGGGTGAACTTGAGTGCATCCCTTCACCTCTGGGCCTGCACATATGTTCCTACCTGAGAAGTGAGCACACTGTTATGTACCAACAACAGCCTGAGTCCCAGGGCCGCTGTGAGGGCCTGTGAGGTGAGATGTGTGTGGCTGTTGTGATGCCAGGAAGCGTCTTGCTTGGAGGATCCTGGAAGTAGGCAGAGGCCAAGCCTTAAAAGTCCTGGGCACCTACCCAAGTGCTAAGATCAATACAGTAAAGGCAGAGGTGCTCTGAAACTGTGGGCTTGAGCAGGGGAGCAGGTGATTCCTCCATCTCCTGCCCCTCGTCAGAGTGAAGGCTGGAACGTGAGCCGGCTGAGCCAACACTCCCTGGCCTCCAGTAGCCTTCATGCTGCCTGCTAAGACTTGGACTGGTGCCCAGCTCTTCAAAGAATACAGCCCCTCCTTGATGACGACAATGCAGGATCCATTAGGTCTGAGTCACAAGCCTTGCTGATAAGTGGAAGGAACACTGGCCTTGTTGTTTTTTATAAGGTGGGTGAGTTGAGCTCAAGCAGGCCTGAGTCTGCCAGATGGCACAGACAGCACGGTCAGCTTGCCCCTGGACTATCCCTGGCCCCTCGGCCTACATCCTGTTCCACCCTTCCTCCAGCCTCAAGTACCCCCACCTGCCCGTCCACCTGCTATGAGCAGCCCAGGTGTGGGCACCCACTCCAGGTAGGCCTGGTCTAGGCACAGCCATTTCCACAGCCTGTCCTGTCCTGGACTCCTCAGCCACCTGAGTCCAGGTCCCAGTTCTGGCCACTTCCCATTCTGCCTGGTCTAAGGCTGCAGGGCCCCACGATGTCAGTGGGAGGAAAGGGCACCCCTCTACTCCTTCAAAGGGAGATACCATCTCCTTGTTTGGGATCTGACTTTAAGAAGGACTCAACGAAGGGAACAACTGAAGCCATTCCTCCATGGGGATACCCACCCTGCCATTCAATGGACACTTATTAAGTACCTACTGTTGGGCACTGGTCACGGTGCCAGGTCCTGGGGCCGCAGAGATGAGTGAGAAACATCCTGCAGTTTATAGTGGTGGGGAAGAGGAATGGACACGTGGACACTTGAACCGCTATTTATAAAATGCTGTGGTTAGAGCAGTGATAGAAATAGTGATAGAGATATTCATGGACATTCACTCAATGTAGCCAAAAGTCAACTTACCATCAACTTACCCACCCAAAGATACCCTACCTCCAAGTCCCCCCATCTGGGTGCACAGTGCTACCATCATCCAGGTGCCCACACTTACTTCTACATTCAGGGACTCAAGTCTTACTGATTTCACCTCCTCTCCATCTGCCATATCCATTACCTCCTTTACATTTCCTCAGTCGTTGCTCTAGTTTGGCCTCCATGATCTCTCACCTTCCTTACTCATATTGTCTCCCTGCCTAAGGCCTCACCAACTCAAATTCATCCTCCATTCTACTTCCAGAGCAATCTTTCTGAAATGCAAAAAAATCACATGATCCCCCTGCTTAATATTATTCAATTATTATTAGTCAATTCAATTAAAATTATTCAATCACTATTGACTCAAGGATGAAAAGCAAACTCCTTGGCATACAATACACATCCTCCATGACACATCCTTTGCTGGCCTCTTGAACTTTATCTCTTGCCACTTAACCCTTCACTCCATTAGATAGAACTACCCACCAGGCTTCTATGCCTCCAAGCCTTTGCTCATGCTGCACCCTCTGCCTGGCATGCCCCTCTGTCACTTCCTTTTTGTTCTTTTCACAGGACCTCAGCTCTCACCATTTTGGGCTCCTCATCTGTACAGACATCTATCCTAGCTGCACCTGTAATGCTCTGTGGCTTTTTCTTGCTTATGTGATCATCACTTTCTTAGAGAGAGAGACTGAGAGGACATCTGATTCACCTCATATCCCCAACGCTCTGCAAAGGACGTGGCACCCGTGTATTGACTATATGGATACATCCAGGACTGAATACTTCAGGACAGCAAGGAGCCCAACTCCAGATTCTCAACTGGACTCGAGGGCTTCAGAGAGCTCTGAGGACCAGGCTGGTCTCCAGTTGGCCCAGTAGGTCCAGTTAGTGACCGCTGTATGCTGTGTCCATAAGGGAATAGAGGTGGCACTCTATTCCAAGGATCACATTTTTCTAGTTTTTGGCCCAAGAATCCAGCATCTCCTCCAACACCTAGATGTAGTGCTTCACTCCAAAAGCCATCCCAAGCTCATCCGCAGGGCTCAGCTTTAGTACCTAACTTCTCTCAGTG